TGGACTCAGTTTCTTTTCTCACCTAATAAAATAGAAGGTCCATTCCTGACTAATGGGATTGCTTCTTTCATATATGTAATTGAATTTATTGTAGAGAAAGGTAACAGAAAATGGATTGTAGAAAGAAAATAGGTGGAGACACAAACTGGACAAGGGTTTTCATATTGGGCATCCTATCCACAGGCCTCAGCAGCCCTGCCATGGATCTGCCCGATTCTTTCGCATCAAGAATTTGATCTTTCGAGCCATTTCCATGTTGTAGATCCGCCGGCAGGTTTCATAACTTTCTCGTTGTCGCCGACGGCACGGCTTCTCATAGTAACGCCGACGCTTGATGTCCTCAATGAGTCCATCCATGGTGAGGATTCTGTTTAGGGTCCTGTATGCACCTTCCACGTTCCCTTCCTGTACCATCACAGTCCTAGCAATGAACTTGAGATGATTTGCCATGACCTTGGATTTAAGTCTCCACACTGCAGGACCCAGCGAACTCGCAGCCTTCTCCCCTAATAGTATTCTTAACTTTGTAATTTGGACAACACAGCATTTCCTATGAAGTATGACAGCAAACATTTACTCGCACAGAAAGAACTGATATCTGCAGCTATCATGGTATAGTTATTGGCACTGGAGAATGCCTGTAGGTGTGTATTTTGGGGAGGGCTACAATGAGAGGAAAGGATAAACAAAAATCAGTGAGTACAGGCTTTCTACTCAACTTCTTACCTGCTTACTCATTGATATAAGCACAGCTGAGAAAACAGGGTAGAAAATTATCTGTGGTCCACTTTTTTGTTTTTCTTTCTTTTTGTCCTTTTTTTCTTACTTGCTCCTTAATAATACTTTTTTTTTTTTTTTTTTTTTTTTTAGGGACAGAATCTCACTCTGTTGCTCAGGCTAAAGTGCAATGGCATCATCATAGCTCACTCACTGCACCCTTAAACTCCTGACCTCAACTGATCCTCCTGCCTCAATCTCCTGAGTTGCTGAGACGATAGGCAGGCACCTTCACACTCAGCTAATTTCTTAATTTTTTTATAGAGATGGGGCCTTGTTACTGCCCAGGCTGGTCTCCAACTCCTGGCCTCAAGCAATCCTCCCACCTTGGCCTCCCAAAGTGCTAGAATTATAGTCATGGCCCACTACACCCACCCAGGAAACTCCATGATTTCTTAAAGAAAGTGCCATCAAGTGAGGGAAGGGCAAAGAAGCCAGCAGAGCAGCAGCCAATAATGAGAAGTTGAAGGGTTCATGGAAGAGGCACACACGCAAGTTCTCGAATCAGACCTGGGTGTCTATGGACAAAATTAGAGGCTGGCTCAAAGCTGGCATTGAGGAAAGGCTTGCTTGTCAATGGGAAACCGTAAACTTCATCAAGAATGCCAGGATTACACTAGGAAGAAACATAAATCTTGCACAGAACAGACCTTCACATTGGAAGTGTTAATCCAAGCCAAATATAATAGAAGGTGTTTTTTTGTTTTTTTTTGTTTTTTTTTTTCCTATATAAGTACTAATTGTGGTGATCTGGGAGGAAAAAGATTTGGGGTAAATACCACCTGCTTTGGCAGCTGAGAGAATGAGAATGAAGAGAATTTGGCATCTGAACCTCATTATGTATGTTGTATTATGAGTGGAATCTGAATTACATCTGTCCCAAAACTGTGGTTCTTTATTGCTAATAGCCCATATTGATAGATCAATTATAGATGGAAAAGACAGTAATTTATCTAAGCTGGGCTCCAATCAGCTCTGCACTGTACATCATACCATAATTAAGTTAATTGAGGCAATCTAATTCCTGATGCTCCGAGTATAATGTTTGACACTCAACTTGTTCCCGGATTTTGTCTACCATCTTTGCTCTGGTCATGAAAACAGGGAATAAAAACAGGTGGGGTAGGGGCAGAGGTGGAAATTGGTACTGCCAGCTACCTTGTTTTCCATTTCTCATACATACAAAATTGGGAAGCAGAAATGTTTTCTTCATGGCCATAGTAGGGTGACTTCACAGGAGAATTCTGCTAGTCCAGTCAACAAGCTACATGAGTACTGAAAGGAACAGAGCAGAAAGTCAGATTTCCTACTGAGATTTATATTGGAAAATTGTCACTGCCAAGACCATGGGTTATTTGGAGACATTTTCCGAGCCTCCTCTGAGTTTATGAACAAGACTACCTTTGTAAAGCCTGAGAGTCATGGAATTACTGTTCTATTTCCTTGGTTAGGAACAATTAATCATGGTTGTATGCCACCGACAAATAAAAATATTTTTCTTTTAGACATGCAGGAAAGTTGGAAAGGAAGGCAGGAAGAGTGTTCCATTCAAAATAGATCTTTATTTATTTTAGATTTAGTGCAGGATGTTTTTATTTTACTAGTACACTTCCAACAAGAGGGCTGAAAATCCTGAGGCAAAGCAGGTCTGCTAGATTACAGTTCTGTGGTCCCAGTCACATCCCTTGCTAATTCAGGGTTGTCATTAGTTCATTTTTCTCACAATAGTAATAGCACAGGTATTTTACTTCCAGTAGGAAGACACAGGGGTTCCCAAATCTTTAATCCATAGAGCTGTGCATAGGTATTCTGGTTACACTTACCTTGCCACACCTTTAATATTTTACACAACCTAGCTCAGTTTCCGCTTACTATTTTCAAGAGAAGATTTCACACAAACTTGTTCCAGTGTGCTTGATATGTTTTCCAATAAAAGTTATGTGCGACTTTTTTCCCCTTATGGGAAAAATGAAATTTCAAGAGTCCAGACTTTACTCCTTCTTGGCCCAACTTTCAGGTTTGGTTGTGAACAAACAGCCTCTTTGGAAGGGAACACATGGATGCTGTCAACAATCTTAACTGCTTGGCTTTATCCTGTCTTGTTCACCAGTGAAAACAGCTACATTGAAAATTGTAGCTGAGCTACCAAATTTCCAGTGTCTGCAACTTAAAACATAAACAAAAACAAAAAACAAACAGACCTCTCCAGGAAAATATGTCTTCCTTAGCATAATGTGTGAGGCAAAGAAAAACAATTGTTTTTTAAATCTATTTTTCAGCTGAAGGAGAAATATTAAATGATGTCTATAATGCCTATTATTTTATTTTTACTATTATCATTTAGTATTATTGCTTATTTTGTTTTATAGCCCAGGGACTTAACACAAAGCTCTATAAACTCAAACTGCTATATTTAATGTTGCTCAGTTTACAGAAAATTTTCACTAATGTTTGATTTCATTTATGCAGCATTTCTGCTTTAATCAAGGCTATCTGACCTGTGGTTAAAAGTGAATGGGAATATAGTTTTTATTTATTTAATTATTTATTTTTGAGACAGAGTCTCACTCTGTTGCCCGGGTTAGAGTGCCATGGCGTCAGCCTAGCTCACAGCAACCTCAAACTCCTGGGCTCAAGCGATCCTCCTGCCTCAGCCTCCTGAGTAGCTGGGACTACAGGCATGTGCCACCATGCCCGGCTAACTTTTTTCTATATATTTTTAGTTGTCCAGCTAATTTCTTTCTATTTTCAGTGGAGATGGGGTCTCACTCTTGCTCAGGCTGGTCTTGAACTCCTGAGCTCAAAGGATCCACCTCCCTCAGACTCCCAGAGTGCTAGGATTACAGGCGTGAGCCACCGCACCCGGCCCGAATATAGTTTTGAAATCCATTTATTTCATACCTTAAATAGAAATAATCCTTGTATTCACTAACTTCCAAGAGTATTTTCATCAAAGTAAATTCTCCTTTTTCTTTGTTTTTCTATCACCCAACAAGTGTTTATTAAATATCCAATTTGAGCAAGTCACTCAACCTCTTCATGCCTCAGACTCTATTTCTAAAGAAAGGTATTAAACTAGACAATGTCTAAGGTACTTTGAACTCTAATGTTACATTCATGGTTTTGCATAGGATTTTTATAAATACCAAAAGGGATTCTATATAAAAGTAGATGTCATGAAACAATGGAAATATAATGGACTTTGTATTAAGAAAAAGTCTAGATCAAATCTAAGCTCCACTATTCTGTGACTTTTGTGAGCCATAGTTTTATCACCTAGTGTTATGGTCTGAATGTTTGTATCCCCACAAAATTCATATGTTGAAACTCAATACCCAATAAAATATTAGGTCATGAGGGAGAAGCTCTCATGAATTAGGTTAGTGACCTTATAAAGGAGGCCTGAAATAACTTGTTTGCTCCTTTTACCATATGAAGACTCAGCATGAAGGCACCAGCTATGAGGCACAGAGCCCATACTATATACTGAATCAGCTAGCACTTTGATGTTGGACTTCCTAGTCTCCAGAACTATGAGCAATAAATTTCTGCTGTTTATAAATTACCCAGCCCAAGGTATTTTGTTATAGCAGCCCGAACAAACTAAGAGATCTGACAAATGTGTACAATGTTCCTGTCCTCATAACATTGTCTGGAGAATTAAAATTGAAACAAATGGCAAAGTCTTTAATAAATAGTTGCTCAATAAATAACGGTGGCTGATCTCCTTTGTCTTTGTTCAAATTGTTTACACTCCAAGTACTAAGAGAGGATCTGTGCACAAAAGAGAGACAATAGGAATACAATGTTAAAAAATGCTGCATGGAATGAACAATTTATACATAATGGACACTTTAGATATGTTTTGCAACAAAGGAGTTCATATAGGCTCAGCTGTCCCAGCCGGCTTATTTCTAAACCCTGATCTTCACTAATTCGTGATTATTACCTTGACTTCACATTTGTTTGGGTGCTCCTGATTAAACATTTGTATATTAATTGATCAAGCAAAGGCTGAATCCATTTCCTCATACCACCAGGGTCAGGAATATTTATATCAAACATAGGAGCTGTGGATAGGATGTAAAATTGAATCTCTGGATTGAGGGGTAGACCGTCTGCTGGAAAGTGTCCACTGTCCACTTCTTCAGCCTGACTTTAATATATAGATTAATTAGTCCCTTGGTGGCTGAGGCAGTCTATTTCCCCACTGGGCCCTATCGATTCATTAATGATATGGGGAAAAAAGCATGAGAGCAGAAATCCTTGCTCTGTTACCCAGGCTAGAGTGCCGTGGCGTCAGCCTAGCTCACAGCAACCTTAGACTCTTGGACTCAAGCAATCCTCCTGCCTCAGCCTCTCAAGTAACTGGGACTACATGTGCATACCACTATGCTTGGCTAATTTTTTCTACTTTTAGTAGAGACAGAGTCTCACTCCTGTTCATTCTGGTCTCAAACTCCTGACTTCAAGCGATCCTCCTGCCTCAGCCTCCCAGAGTGCTAGGATTACAGGTGTGAGCCACTGCGCCAGGCCTTTAATAAGAATTTAACAGAAAAATTTTCAGAGGTTGTAAGATGATTAGAATAAAGGGTATCACAAATAATACTCATGAAAATCTAGTTATCTAAATATCTCAGCTTTCTGTAAGTCAAACTATTTTACATTGTTGGCTCTCCATGACTTTGGAAGTTCTCTAAAAATCTGGGAATTGT